GGGCGAGCTAAACGATCTCCCGGATTAAGCAACGTTTCCTACAGCAAGGCCACATCTATACCTTCATCCAAAGGAGCTTGATGAAATTCCCGTTTTTTTGGGAATATCCCTCATGCCCAAACAATTCCAAAAAAGAATGTTGATGAATGCAGGCTGTCTACTGTACCTAGACATTTTCAGGAAATATCGCCTGCAACGCTTGGATAGCGCTGATCAGTGGGCTTATTATTTGTTGTAAGGACCTTAGCGCGGTTGCTAGGTCCACATTTTACGTGCTCAAGGGAGGTTGGGCAGAGGGCGCAGGCAAGGTTGCCTCCCTAGGTGCGTCCGCGTATGATAGATTGCGCCTTTGCGCTATAACTTGCAAGTTCCTCCTTGGAGTGAACTTGCAAGTCCGGCTATTTGCGGGATGCTCCTCTCCACAGTTCGCGCACTTGCGCTCTTCCTCTTCTGTGAGGGGGCACAAATGCGTCATGTGGTCCTTTGCACATTTTAAAGATTTGGGCGTGCAATATGACTGCGCATGCCCATAATTTTGGCAGCGGTGACACTGCCCAATGAGTCTGGAGTTCTTCTGAACCTCAACTCGAATGGCCAGTCCCAGCTGTTCGTGTTCGTTGACTTTTCAGTCTTGGGCAGTATCACGACAACCAAAGGCATGGGCGCACCGCCGCTGCGCTTCAATTGAATGATGTGGAGAGGGTTATATCCCGTCTGCTCAATTTCCCCCTTAATCTCAGTATCCGAAAAGTTGACGGGAACTCCTCAAACCACCCCATGGATGTTCCGTTCCGAAGGGAGAGGAAAAGTGTGATGGGGCACATCTTTCACTCGGTATCAGGCGAACGATCTTACGGTAGTCGTCCTCAGATTTATGAATAATCCTTATTCCCGCATCGACGGCAACCGCGCGAACCATTTTAATACCTAGGGACATAAACTTGAAATTTAAAGTACGCCACCTCGTCCCGTCGCGATCGGGGTTATGCGCCCTTGTCGAGAGGGTTGTGTTGATGCCACGACGGTTGGACGAGATGACGGAATCACCTGACAGGTAGATAACGTGGTATCTGGCTTGCTAGTACAGGCATTAATGGTGTTTCGATTTGATGAATTGGGGGAGGTGTGAAATGGAATTGATCCTGAATTCGGAAGAGGAGGAAAGTCTTGGGTTGATCGATCAACATTGTCGCCTTTCCTCCTTCTTGATTTTACTTTTACAAATCCTTCGGTCTGTACGTCTTCGTCTGTCGATGTGAGATGATCATCAGTAACGTTTCTCAGTGGTCTTTTTAGGGTGTTTGTCCGTTCTTTAGGGGATTCTTTTGAATTGCCTAATATTGTTACCTGGGCGGTACAGGCTGACAATTGGCTTTCTGGTCCTTGATGGTGTCCATTAGGTCTCGAATCTGCCTCGCCTGGTCGTCTATAATCAGCATCAGTTTTTAGATGGTTTTCTGCTCCGGTGACATCTGCGTCAGTGGGCCCATGTTTTCTGCTTTGCTTGGTTTCCGCCACCGCTCAGCTCTTTCCTCATAATATGTGGAACTGCGTCGTTTGTTGATCCTCCTGGGTCAACTTCCATCTTTTAATAACTTTTTCTCGCCAAGAAATCTCAGAAAACTTGCGACAATGTTGTCAAAACCCTTCTTACAAGGCGATCTCTCGAAATGCTTTACGAGCAACAAATTTGACACGTTGCCTTTTCCCTGTCTACATGGCGATTTGAATTTTCCAGACGTAATCGACAACCTGCAACCATTAGAGCAGTTGGATGCAACTGGTAGCCTATATTCAGTTTTTTCCTTCTCTGTAACTGCTTTATAATTCACGGAAGTAATTACATTATTATTTTGAATTTTTATTGATAGTAGCACAAATAAACCAAATGGTCCCAACATTATCATTGAAATGCTGAATAGGTACGGCCAGCAAAGAAAAATATTTCTGACATCGATGACAGCTTGTGACGTAAACTGTTACATCGTTACATCCTAATGTACAAAGGGTACTACAAAAGTTTTGCCATACAGCTTTATTTATTGCAAAGTCGCAGGGAGCAAGATCTGGACTGTAAGGAGGGTACACAATAAGTTTCAGTCCAGTGGTGGTCAAATACTCGGTGCAGGCTTTGGCGATGTGAGCTGGAGCGTTGTCATGGTGGAGGTACCAAGTGTCCATTCTAGACTTTGGCCGCAGATTTTTGATAGGCTCTATGGGCAGGCACTGTTCCGTGAACCACTTAGCTTTAACTTATCAAACATTTTGAGCATCTTTCGGCACCAAGTCATACGACCAGTCTTCTGCTCTTCCGTCAGACTATGCGGTACCCGGAGAGAACATAGTTTTCGTCAAGCATTTTCCTCAGAGCAGTAGTGTTCTCCTCTGTTACTGACGTTCCCTCTCAGCGTCCTCCAGAGTGAAATTGCTCTTTTGGAATTCTCTGTACTACCTGAATATAGTCTTACTTTGAGGACAATCATTCTTTGATTCAAGCGTCATTTCTTCTAAGCACTGGTCTATGCTTAAACCACGCGTAAAGTTATACCGTAAAACTGCCCGTATCTCACGACGTGACCACGATGCCATAATCCGCACTTTACACTGTCAATACGAATGAACAACTACTCGTAAATCAACAGTCGTGCTGCTGGCAGCACATGTCTCAATATGCAGTAACATGCAGAATCCTGCGTCCGTTTGTTGAGTCATATTGCAAAACTTTTATAGCACCCTTTGTAAAATGAAAATCTAAATCCTCCTTTGTACGTTCAACGAAGAGTCATTGCTTCCAAGGAGGGATCCATTGTTTCCAAGGGAGCCTCAAGGAAGGTCTGTAAATCACTCTTAATTAGATCAAAAACTAATAGCAAAATATCAGATAAAAATGTCTTATGATGTCCCCTTTCCGACATACAGTTCTATTCATAAAAAAAGCGTATACGAATTAGAATGAGAGGAAACCTTAACCTTATTTGCGTAAAACCGGCTTGTCTAAATGATTGTTTATTGGAGGTTATCACACGTCGTAGATTGTCAAAAATGCAAAGCATTGACGTCGGTGTAATTCATTTCGAAAATGCGTGGTGGTAACGTTTGATAAACTTTGACAGAAGAAAATAAAAATGCCTCGTCAGTTGTCTGAAGTTGAAAAGGCTCAAATTGTATCAAGAATCGAAGAAGGATGGTCAATCCGTGCTGTAGCGCAGTTGTATAATAGAAATAAAAAAACAATATTGAAAATTAAGCAACGCTGGGAACAGGAAGATTCCCTAAAGAGGAAAATTGGTTCAGGTCGTCCCAAACTTACCAACCCTGAACAGGATGCTGCTTTTTTGGGATATTTAAGAAATAATCCATTTGCAACTGTAAGGGATGCTGTTATTGATACAGCATTTCCTGCCTCCCAACCTACCGCCAGCAGGAGAGTAATGAAATCTGAACTAAAATGTCACCCTGCTGCGAAAAAAATGTTTCTTAACGAAGAACGGCGACAATCAAGGGTTATTTTTGCTTTAAATTATATATACCGCAATCCTCAATTTTGGAACAGGGTCATTTTTACTGATGAAAAGACGTTCCAGTCGACTTATAACGGCCAAATTCGTGTTTACCGTCCAAACAATACCAGGTTTGAAGAGCGATATACTAACCCCCTCAATTCTAGACCTGGGCGTTTCTCTGTAAATGTATGGGGCTGGATAAGTGTTCATGGACCTGGTGTTTGCTGGCGAATAGAGGGAAGATTTAATGCCGGAAATTACATTAACATTTTAGAAAACATATTGTTACCAAGTGCTGAGCAAATATATCCCAATAATACGTTCATATTTCAACAAGATAATTGTCCAGTTCATACGGCCAATGCTGTAACCCACTGGTTTCAAACCCATAATGTGGAAGTGCTGCCTTGGGTCGCTTATAGTCCCGATATCAATCCAATCGAAAATATTTGGGGTATAATCGTAAAAAAATATATAATCGAAATTTTAGGCCACAAAATTCAGAAGATTTATGGGAAATAATACATGCGTGCTGGGAAGAGCTTGATCCAAATATTGTATCAAATATAATTCAGTCAATTCCGAATAGACTGGCTCAAGTAATAGAAAAACGGGGATATATGACCAAATATTAGATTTTATTTATTCTTGTTAATCGTTTTTTGTTTCTATTGTAATTTTTATAAAACTGTTAAGATGTAAAATAAAGAAATACATTTTTGTTACTGTATTGAACTAATGCCCGACGCCCATGCTTTGCATTTTTAATAACCTTTAACATGCGATAAGCCGGTTTTACGCAAATAAGGTTAAGGTTTCCTCTCATTCTAATTCGTGTACGCTTTTTTTATGAATACAACTGTACAAGGTGCTGAAGTAAAAACTTCATATGTTCGTTATTGACTTAACATTTTGTACTCTCAGTAATGTCATCATAGCTAATACACAAAAATGTTCGGTCCTGAGCCTACACCAGAAGCGTAGAAATAGGGACGTGTTGGCCCTTGCACAAAAGAAAAAACATTTTTTTTACGCCACTAACTTTGTTTTAAATTATTAACGCATTTGTGAAGATATACAATTTTATACGACTCCCCTCTTCTATGAAATGTTTGTCTATCTATTCCTTTTGGAGATATTCTGAAGTAGAATCCTATACGAGTACAAACAGTCCAACTTTGAAGCTGGGGTTAGTGAAGTTCGACATTAAAAATTGTATATAGAGTATTAGGAGAGTAATCCTAACTCACCATAGCGCCCTTTGGGCGATGTCTATATTTTGTCCTTATTCGGTCTCATCAGTGGCGTACAAATCTAGAAAACCCTGTTTCCTGACATTTTAGGATGTTTATAAAAACTTTTTTGGATGTACTACCCTAGAATTATCGCCACATTTGTCTAAATTACCCTGAAGGAAGTTAGTTTACAGAGCTTTCTCAGATTATACCGATTCGCTTACAATTTCAGTTCTTCTAATTGGATTGTTTTTTTTTTCAGGGCTTATTGCACATCGAGCGATGGTGCTCGTGTTGGGTCATATTCATTACCTGATGCTAGTTTCAATCTTGATAAATTGAATTGTAGTGAGTATAATTATAATTACCTACATATATCATAATATGTTTATTTTATTGCTTTTATTATACAGGTTGCTCGAAAAATAGATATTTGTTAAAAAATATGAAAAAAGCTTATTAGCTAAAATAATAGTTCAAAATACATACGTAAATGCTGGTATTTACTTGTTAAACTGTGTAGAGGAGTTGTGTTGTGATTTTTCTGTCTTCTTGAAATTCCTTAACCATTTTTTTTCGCGTATTTTCAATGAGATCAAAGTTTTTGCGTTTATAAGAAATATTTGAAAGTACAAACAACTTAGAATGCCCATTTTATTACGTTCATTTCTTGACAGATAAGATAAATGATGTCCATTGTTGCCAAGTTGTACCTTTTTGGGAGAAATACGTGATAAATAATGAGGTTTTTTGCGAAATAAAAGTCTTAATTTGTAAATGGCTTGTTTTATGAGAAGTTGGCCCAATATTTACCGAAAACTAGACAAAATTTTGAACAGTATGTGTCTAAACAGTTGAAAATGCACCAGCGGCTCGCGTGAAATAGAAAATACAAAAGGCACCAGCGATCATTTCATATAAAAAACACAACTTCGATTCGTCGATTTAAACCACCTCGCTAGGTCCACCCAACATATCATCGTCCAACATTATAGTTAAATAAAGATCAACGATCATTTCATCAAATCATCAAAAAACTTGCAATGTTCTTTGTTATGTTTCCATTATTTAGAGATTGGCAACAGCTACCTTTTCAGTTATTTCCCATATGTATCACATTTAATTAGGTATACGTATATTTTATGACATCAGCTTCACTTTAAATAATTCTTCAAGTACATACATACAAAAAGTAAATAGATTATAACTATAATATAGGAAAAACAATAACCGAAGTACTTTTGTGAAGGGCATAAGACATTCTTCAATAAAATGTGTTTAGCTAACGCTATCGTAGGGCACAAGATGGATTTAGTACAGTAAAACCTGCCGTCCATACCTCCAAATCGCATTTTCATTAGAATCCTGTGCCGATTGCACATTTTTGCGCTAGTATATAAGCAAGAATTTGACAAACCAAATTAGGGTTTATAACTATCCATGATTTGGCAACATAGCAACTAGATGGAGAGAGTAGAATAGTGATGGTGGTAGATGGTGGTGTAGTGATGGGAATATTCATCTGAAATAAATGAAAATATTACTTAACAATGAACTATTTTCATCATTAAAATAATGCAAAATTGCATTATTGCGATGAACAGTGTCACAGTAATTTACATTGTATGTTATATTCGTATAATTTTGAGCAATCTTTTGTGCAAACAAGAAAAAATAGCTTATAAAGCAGTATTACCACACAAAATGCACCTTTGAACTTCTATAAAATAGCAAGCAGAGGGTTCCTTACAGAAAAAATGATATTTTCGTGCAATTTACATCCTAATTAAAAAATACAAGAGGCAAAGAAGTTGTATTTTTAGATGCTTAATCAAACAACAAATATTAAAGTTACAAAAAAGGCATAATATTCGCTAAGGTGCCCCCGGGACGTCACTAGACCTAATAGTTTTAATCTATTTAGGGCTAAATTAACCTCTTAATAAAACAAATAATATTGCAACTTTTTTTAAATCTATCACCCTGTATCTTGAAAACTCTGTATTTCCAGACCCATGTTAATAAAAACTTTTTTCATATTCTTTAACAAGGAATCGCCCTCTAAAATATCTTCGTCTATTTTTCGAACACCCTTTTCGAACAGGATAGATGCAGCCATTAGCGAATCTTATATTTGATTTTCATTTGGGAAATGAGAATTTTGTCAATATAGTTTAATCGCTAACTCGAAGATGTCGCTACTTGCTTTGGCTTATGTTAACTCAAGTGAGGTGGTGCTTAATCACAATATAATGTCATGGCGTCGATTTTGTTAAACCAAGCACACCCAATTAAATTTGTCCGCTATTAGTATAAGCATTTTAATTTATCCTCAAATAGTGAAGAGTTATCAAATGCTGACACCAGGGTGGTTTCAAGGTTGAGTCATTTATTTTAACTGCTTGTAGCACTCGTCAAAGGGATTTTAAAAACTCGTACCAAAAATCACCTACACTTCGAAGTTGAGTCATTTATTTTAACATCTGATCAAAAGAAATGTTTTTTTTCCTTTACCATTTTTCTGGTAAAATTAAAGTAACAAAGTTATAGCCCTTTGGAAGTTTGAGTACCGCCCTGTCTCAATAATAATATTATGTGCTCGTGTTTGGCGACAACGGATATAATCCGCCTTATCGGTTCATCGCATCGGAAACAAAAAAGCGAAAGAATTTGGAACGATGTTTTTACAATTATTTCATTCAGTTGTATACAGTCAGTGTCAGTCGGTAACGCGTGAGTGAATAGTGGTGTCTGTTGCGTGGCTCAAACGAAATAAAAAATGGCACATGTTTATGCGGATCGGTTTCCCAATCGAGTGCAACCAACCCCTCGTGCCTTTGTTAATGTAGTACAACGGGCTCGTGAATCAGGTGACTTAAGACCTCACATGGGGACGGCATGCCGGTGCTCCAAGACCTCACGATCAAATACAGGTCCGCACTGAAATACTTGTCGGGAGGATACTTTATAAAACAAGGTAAAATTTTATTTTTTATTTTTTTTTTATTTTTACACACATGTTTTGGTTTATCTTCCTTCTACAATCATTATCTGAAAATTAATGACTCAACTTCAAAGTTCAAAGTATAAAAGTTGCATAATAAAAAAAATAAAAATTAAAAAAAATAAGAATGTTATTACTCAGATTTTTTTGATATTTTTGACTAGTGCCACGTAAAATCTTGGCGTTTTTTTTGTTGACTACTCTTATCGTTTATCTAAATTTGTCAAACTTTTGTCTTTGGTTCGATCATTTGTATCACTCCTTTAATAGTGCGTATACTTTCATTTGTCTGATTATTTTGTGTGAAAAAATGGCCTATGTTTACGAAAACATTGAACTAGTGGACATAATACTAACAAACGTCTGTCCTGCTAGCAAAATACAGCCGCAGCATGCAGGTTGTATGCGGAAGGTTTCCTTTAAGAAATCATCCGGCCCCACGGATGTTTGTAAATTTAGTTATTAGACTTCGTGATACATGATATTTAAAAGAACAGCGAGGAGGTTACGCTGGAAGACCTCTCTATAGCACCCTGTGGGGTTTTGTTTTCAGCACTCTTTGAAAATTTCATCCAAAACGATCAAAAAATAAAGCGACAATTTCGAAGCGCAAACCTCTACAAATCGTATTTTGGACGAATTTTGTTTACTGTTTCGTGCTGCCAACACAAGCGTTGCAGCGCAATGTACGGACTAAGAAAGGACGTATTCAGATAATTTGGTAGCCCTATTTCATATAATATCGCGTAGATAACTCGTTCTGCAAATAGGTACTCATAATCGCGATCGCTGATACTCCTCGATTTTAAAGCCGTTTTACTTCCCACGCCATTGGCGAGGAAGTATTGTAATCGCGAAAAATTTCTAAAATGAGATGTTATGTTTTTTTAAGTCATATGGCATCTACATCTCGAAAAACTGTATCACTCATCATCAACTTGGAAATTACCGCTCGGATTTTTATGAAATTTCCACACTGCCAAAGCTTTGTAGTTCTACTCCAGTGGCAAAAAAGAAAAAGTAACAATTGCTGAAACTCCGTTTTTGACGTTTCAGGAGTTCCTAATCATTGACATAAAAAAAATTCACTGTTTAAAAAGGGGGAGTAGAAATCTGTGAAACACGTTCTATTATTAAGAAGCTTTTGATCCTAGTGATTACAGGAAATTTAAGTAACGAAAATCCGACGAATAATGTGCTCACGATTTGAAAATATCGGTATCTGCTCTATAGGTTTGACACCAAGAGCCAACAGATCTGCAACTACCGACAGTAGGGAAGAATAAATTCAGATATCACTCCAGTCAAGTATAGGGGAATTTAGCGTGGAAAAATTATCGATATGTCAAGGAAATATGTTCTTGAGAATGATAATTTGGTAGATTTTATACCTGCATTTTCATTTGAATTTCATGACCCGTGAAATGTACCCATTTCGCCGTTACCTTCAATTTGTGTTCTGCAGTTTGTGATGTTTTTCTGGATATAAGCAGGACATAATTGCCTAGGGTGCTATCAGAGCTTTTTACAAAATTTTGTATTTGCGCAAGAATTATGGTGGGTTGAAATGCTTATTATTTGTGCTCAACTTCTTGATATTTTAAAACGATCTTTGTCTTTAGCACGCTGCAAGAGTTTCATTTGGAATTGATAAAAATTAAACGTAAGCTGTGGAGTGCAACTCGGTATTTGGGCGAAATTCATCTACTGTTTCATCCTGCCAGTCCAAGCGTCGTGACAGTGCGTTCCGACTAAGAAAAAATGGATTCAAATAATTGTATATCTTTCCTAAAATAAATTCAAGAACTCAAATTCAAATTCGTTTATTCATGTCAATAAACACAATTATGTTTGCAAGGGACATATGGTAGATGGTAACAATTGAACGAGGGTCATAAAAATATCTTATGCAGTCAAAAGACGAGGAAACAGTTAGGTAGTTTTTGCAAAGCAATAAATAGGTAGGCTTATACCTGGATTAAGTACATGTCTTGTCTACTGTAATAGGTAGATGGAGATGATGCTGCCAGAAACAGATGTGTGCGATCAATAAACAAACCACAAGATTGAACTGCAGTGTCCAATGATTTTTGTATTGCCTTTTTTTATTTCCTTACTAGAAAACTCTGTTGGGTATATGATGGAGTTTACTAGAACTTTACAGCTTGTTGTCTGCCTTCTTATACAAACTTCACCACATCGAGACGCTGTCAACCTTATCCTCCATTGAAGACGCCACAAAGTACAGTCTTATGATTTGGTGACTTGTTCGATCTGCAAAATCTCGTCGTCACTTTTTTTAAGTTTCCCTAAAAATTTTTGCTTAGCAACCTACAAATCAATGTAGTTAATGTCAGGTTTTTGACTGAATTCGCCATAAAACTATTAATTTTCTTTGGAATTGCTATCCGAATTGTTAGTTATCTTTATATCGCTTTTTTTGGTCTGAGTTTCTTTTCAAGATTCTTGCGTTTGAGTCTTTCTTCCATCTTAGTGATAAGCGAGGTTGGACTAAGCTTAGCACGCAAATGTATTTGGACCACATAGACAGACCGCTCGGTATTGTGGCTCCCTACAGCTGCAGCACATTTTCCATGGTATGACCTCTTCTTGTAATAATTTATTCGCTTACCCCAATGTATTTTGCGATTATAGAGTTGAACTCCACATTATTGTTGTCCTCATCATGAATTAAACTCACTGCATTCATAATTAAGATTGTCGCATATGACCTTTTATTGTCCATGATCAACCTTGATAAAAAAGGTACTGAAGAACAATCACACCAACAAGAGTACAGCACAACAATTCAACAACACAATATCGACTGACAGTAACCAGGGTAGAACAATACTAAATGATCACTTGCTGAGTACCAAAATAGGAAGCGATTTACAGGCTAGATCGCTAATCGAAATCCGACTCTGTTATTATAATAATTTACCTCGGTACGCAAACGCAGTCATCCTTTCCTCTTTTAAAGTAGCGCCGACAACCGTCTAAGACCTGCCCACCCTCGTTTCCTTTTCACCCCCCCGTTACCTCAGCAGATGGTACTCGTGATTGTAGGAGCCCCGTTAATGAATTTTGTTGTCGGAGCCACGTGTTCATTTCCTCAACATGATTTCTAATTCTATATATTATATCCGAAAACGATCTATAAGTAGGACTCATTTCTGTGAACCCTTATTGTTCGAGGTAATTATGATTTTTTTTACTTTGCTAGGCCTGTCTTAACCTCGTACAAATTGAAAACACAACCACTTTGTTCAAAAATTAAGCATAAACCTATCAGTAATTTTATTTGTGTCAATTTAGGTATTCTTTTGTAACAATAGGGTTATATCTTAACCATTTAATTATCCATTGTTAAGGTCAATATTGAATTCGTCAAAAGCTATTAATTCATCAACTTATTTAGTAGTAAAAAGAGAGATATGTTTTGGATTTCTCAATGGTAGCATATATATTGTTCTGTATCATAGTACACTGAGAATAATATAGTGTTATTTTTATATTGCTCTAGCTTCTGATTCTCACGATGTAAAATATTCCTGTGGTTCTCAAGTAACATTTTAATTGCCTTATGAGCGAGGACATCAAATATTTTACCTCTAGGTCCTTATCTTTTTTACAGGTATCTGATTATTTTAATTCAGTTCAGGTTGATTTCAAAAATTGGGTATTGCTAGTGCACTCACGATTTTCCTTGCGCACCATGATTGAACAGCAGCTTTGTTTTAATTTAAAATTTTTGAATTGATGTAACCCAAGACTAAGTGGATCCATTTTAAATTTAAATTTTAATTTATGGAGTATTAGTCAACTCGTTATTTCGGGTTATTTTTAACAAGTAATTTTTTGTATTTAGGATTCTACCTTCGGGTTCTGATTTACATCTGGGACTTCCTACCCTCGGTTACCTTTGCTCCGGAGCTTTCATTTGGGTAGCCTTTCCTTTGAAAGGCTCCAAAACAGCCTCTTCTCTTGTGTGTGCATCAATCCCACCATTCTGTAATAGCAAAGCACCTACCAAGGTGGTTTTTTTTTATTTTAAGTTTTTGCAGCAAACCAGTCACCTTGGGAATATTACCAACTAATTTCCTGTTGCTTGTCTCCTAGGTCGAAGACGATCCAACAATGAGTACTAGAGCCATACCAGCTCAAGTTGAAATTTCTCGTAGTAAAGTAATTGAGTTTACAAGCTTCTGGTCCGGGCTTGATTGCTGCCTGAAGAGGTGGAGCTTGCTCCAGTTCTTTCGTGTCTCTTCCAGATATCTTATGAATCCGGCACCTTCCCAGAAAACTGGAAATTTGCTCACGTCCGACCTATCCCAAAAAAGGATCTAAGACCGACCCTTACAACTACAGGCCTACAGTTCTTCTTTCTGATATAATGTGATGGAGACGTGCATAAATCGCAAGTTTCTAGACCACCTCGAACATCACCGGTTGATTAGCAACAGGCACTATGGTTTCCGGCACCAGCGATCCTAGCTTACGTCACGCAATTGTGGAGTAAACTCATCCAGTCTTATGGTGAGACTCATGTCGTTGCTCTTGACATCACGAAAGCATTCAATCAGATGTGGCACGCTGCCCTCTTAAGCAGACTTTCATCCTATGGCCTCCCAGAAAAGCTTTGCCGAGCAATTTTTTGCATTAATCGAACAAATGGGGACAAGTTTGAACAGTTTTTGCAAAAACGGTATCCATTTAACTTGATAATGATTTTTTTAAAACAATTTCTAATAATGTAAACATAACTTCTTATAATGCAACTTTTTTATATGTAGGTGATTTTTGGTATATCATCTCCTTTTGACGAGTTCTAATAGCTGTTAAAATAAATGACTAAACTTTGAAGTATCATGTGGTTCTTCAAGAAATCAACTCAAAACCACAAAGCGAATCGTGTTACCCAAGTTTCTGTAACAAGTAAAGAACTGGACCCGAGTCCCACCATGATGTGCGAACACTTAAAGTATCCGAAGTATATGTAGAGGTACCAATGTATGTACTTGAAGTATTTTGGACAAGTGCGCAAGTGTACATCATATAGCGTAGTGAATCACTTTTGGTTTTAAGCTTTCGATAAACATCTTGTTTTGTATGTGTTGGTACGCGTAAGTGAATTGTGAAATTCTATGTTTTTTTTCAGATTGTGCAAGGGACAAGCAAAAGTACAACTATAAAATAAACTGCTTAGAAAATGGCAATTATAACCCTCTGCAAACTACCCAGTCCAACGGATATTACTGCGTAGACGATGATGGTTTCCCTAAAACGGATATGTTCGACAGAGAAGTTAACTGTACAGAATACTATTAGAATCATGTGCAAAGCTTTGAAATAAAATGTATAAAAGAAATGCTTTCGCGGCCATCATTCAATGTTATTTGGTTGGTTTTTGGGTGGAATGCTCCGTGTGGACGGGAACGACAATGCCGCGCACAGGATTGAAGTGTTGATTGTATGCAGTCTAGTAAATGATGGAATGGATAATACTAAAGTTTTAAAACTGCTGCAAGGGTTTGAGAAATTACTGGTACTGTGTAGGACGTGAGGACGTTAAAACCAAAAAAATAAGCACTGCAACAACTGGTAATTGATTGTAGCATTGAAAATTTAGACTGATGTGAAGCACAGAAAAAATTAAAAGTCTAATGGGATCATTTCGTCGCGAAAAAAGCAAAATAAAGATTTTGACACTCTGAAAATATACTGCAAGCTGTTGTAGGAGTCTCCAGTTGCCAAGGAAACGCAAGGTTATGGCTAAACGTTCTCTTGATGATATAGATTTTCAAAACTGTATGATTTTTCATTATCGTTGGTGTTATCAAGTCAGCCTTGGTCATTCTTCTAAAATTTCTGAATTGATCATAGACAGTCTGATACTAATTCCGTTAATAAATCATTATTTCTTTTGCGTAGAAATTCGGTTATCCACCAACGACATCTACGTTTCTGATTTTCTTTTGTTTTAATTAAATTATACATGATAATAAATGCTGCCGCGGCTATATCTCTATTGTCCATGTTAACATCGTACGCGAACGACTGGATCAGCCAATGCGTTGAAAATTGAATTTCCTTAAGACATTCATTTGGATGTACCATGTCAGCAAATTGATATTTGAGGAAGTATATTTTATTTTTATTATTTTCATTTTGCTGTTTGAGTGAGCTGTATTTATTACTAATTTTTATGATAGGTTCCGCACATACTTAACCTGTATTTAAATTACGATTCGCTGATGACGGACAATAAACCAGAAACACGTGTCTATATTATTTTTACAGGTAACATTACAACTTCTGGAAAGGACAATGCAGCCTGTTCTATTGACTACCTCGTACTCAATAAATCCCAGATGTACTAACATAATAAACATTTTTATATCTGTACTTCGTACATTTTATTGTCGCATTTCCCCAGTCACTTGAAACCACCTTAAAACTATAACCATCAGAATTGTGAACAACAGCTCTGAATACGGTCCTGAAATTATTTTCCAACAATACAGACTAATACAAAGACATCGCTTTTCTGATTTGGTGTTCACCTCAGTAATCGTTCGAGCAGAGAGGAATCGAAGATGACACCTAGCGGCTCGATATATTATTTGTCTAAATTGACTGTATTCTTAAGGTTCCATTGTTTTCTATCGAAGCTTGCTTAAACCGTTCCCATACGATATGACGAATGCTTTACAACGTTGGACACATGACCATTCGCCACATCGTGTGGGAAAGCGCTGACGGAATACACGCGTCCAACGTTCGCCACATGGCACATTCGGGCTTTTGTTGGTAAATTTGACCCGCGTCAAAGGAAGTTACAACGTTGGACGCATGATTCGTTACGCGCCCACACGAGATATCAAGTGTTTGATTGTTTTAGGTTAGAACCAGTAGCATCGAAAAACATTATTTACTTGTTTGCTGTGATTGTGGTGAAGTATTTTGATTTGAATATCTACATATTCATAATAATGTATGTTCCGTAACTAACTTTTGAGGAAAATTAATTAAATTAGTATACGAGCTCCTTCCCACTTTAGTTGGACCAACTATTGAAATCTTAGATTTTTTCTTATCAAACACAAATAATAAAAATGTAGCAGGGTGTTATGGGTTTAAAATATTAACAATGAATATTTTGATAATATATAGTAGAAAACACCAACTTTATCACTCCCTAGTCAAATTTGCAGCATAAAAATAACACATGTTGCAATTACAGCATATCAACCTATTTTCATTTCAATGCAAAGTAAGTCTATAACGCATAGCTGGCTGTGAAAAATAAAAGCCATGACAATTGTTTTTATTAATCACAGCTGTCAGAATTCGTTTAAAATAGTTTTGGGTAGTTAAGGTTTTCAAAATGGGTAGAGGAAAGGTTATTAGTGAGAAAATTCGGTTACTGATAATTAAATTTTTTATTTCTGGGAAATCAAACTCAGCATTTGCAACTTTGTTAGACTTATCGCGGTACAGTGTCAGAAATATTGTTAGAAGATATAACGTAACTGGTTCAGTTAATATTAAGCCACGATATGTGAAAAAAAGTAATATCACAAATACCGACCGAAGAGCATTAAGAAGAATAATCGTGAAAAACAGGAGTGCCAATTATTTACAATTTAGTGCTCTGTGGAGTGACGCTGTTGAAAGGAGATTTTCGAGATCCACAACAAATAGAGAGGCCCACAAACTGGGATTTAGCACTTGCAAGGTAAGTTTTCTTACAAAAAAAAAGTGAAGTAAAAACCCTAAAGTTGCACAACTTGTTTATAGGCCAAAGAAAAGCCACTATTAACTCCACTGTAAAAGAAAAATTGGCTTAAATGGGCTAAAGAACATAGACAATGGACACCTCAACAATGGTGTGCAATACAATGGAGTGACGAGGGCCGATTCGAAGTTTGTGTTGGTGACAGTCGCAGTAGAGTTATTCGCAAAAAAATGAAGCATTTCATGTTGACTGTCTGTAGAGAAAAGTGAAATTTCCATCATCCATTATGATCTGGGGGAGTATGTCAAGAAAAGAAGTAGGAAAACTTCATTTTATTGATGGAAATGTGGATACAAACAAATATTTGGCAATTTTAGAAGAATCGCTTTTACCAGTGATGGAAGAATGTTTGACTTCCGGCCAAGATTTTGTGTTTCAGCAAGATGGTGCAGCGTACCATACCTCAAAAAAGGCTATAAAATGGATGGAAGAAAATAATGTACCACTTTTGAAATGGGTTTCTAGCAGTCCAGATCTGTCGCCTATTGAAACTTTGTGGCACGAGATGAAAAAGGTTATACGACAACATCCTGCTCGTACAATCACCGAACTGAGACAAAAGCTTCAAGAAATATGGGATTGTTTTACACCAAATGTTTGCCAAAACTTGGTTAACACTATGCCCCAAAGAATTTCAGCCGTAATAAAAAATAAAGGTGATGTTACCCAATGGTAATCTTTCAATTGTTGCTTTGTTAACTTCGCGCATTTATTCGCACATTGTTTATTTGTTCATATGTTCTATTAGTTATAGGTCTAAGTGATTTCAAATATGTATTTTTTACGACTAGATTTTATCTCAAATGTTTTTGAGAAAATAAATTGTTTAGAAGTGAATAGTGTCGTCATGTTTAGTTTATAAAGGCATATTTTGGTACAAATCTTGAAGTGTGCCAACTGAAGTGGGAAGGGGCTCGTACATAGCATAAGCTGCCATAACAACATTTTTTTTCATATTCTAATATTTCGTACGTTTCGCAGGTGAGTTATGGCTGGACTAAGTATATATATTTTAGTAAAATATAAATTATCAAGTGCTTACAGTTGTTTCATTATAATTTCGTGTTGCAGTGCTAGACTAGTTGAGAAATATATTGACTTGCATTTCATAACTAAGGAAAAAGATTAAATAAATGATAACTCTGAAAGTACTATCAGGATTTTGATGAAATTTTGACCCTAGGTTACTACTATGAAAATGACCAAAAAGTTCTACAGTTTTTTGAATCTGTACAGTGGCGGCCAAGTTATCGGCGAAAAACAAACAAAAAACGGGCAAACTTCGTATTTCGACATTTCTGAGGCTTCTGACAGACTTAAGCTTTGGTCGCTCAAAACAGGTTCAAGCGCGACACTGATACCGATAATAGACGTTGGTACCACCATGCGTCGAACGTCCAGTTCATCCCATCGATAAACAACGTTAGAGATTTTTTCGCGAGATCCCGTAGTGAACTAGAACGGGAACAGATGGAATTTTCCCTTCCTCTCGAAGTTTTGACAGTTTCAAGTTACAACGGGAGTAGTTAGATGGCGCATGTTGCGCAAAATGTTTGATATGACAAGTTCGGTTCATATATCTTCGATGACCTTCTCCCTTGTCATTTAAAATCAGGTGGACGTGTTCCTCCATTTATAATTTAATAATTTAACTCAATTTTCAGCACTGCGAAGACAAATTTTCAATTGAGATGCCTGTTTTTAAATGCCATTGACATAAGACCTGTCACCTCACAGACGATAGGCGTGTACCCGCATCACGTGATTTTTTGACATTCGGACACCCGTCTTCCCCTATTCCCGTTCTTCGCAAAAATTTGAGTATCGGTTCCCGGTAGTGCACTGTGCTCTGTGCTACACCGTGGACTCGCGAAACAATAATCAAATCCAAGCGAATAACCAAAATTTCTGTGTTATGTATCGCGGTTATAGTATGGTTCAAGATGACACACGGGTTGATGACGTCAGTTACTCGAATCGCTTGAACGCGTTGGTTTTAACTACGTTTTTGTTGCAAGTTGTTTATTTTAGAGAAGGTCGTATATAATTTCTGATTATTTTTATTATCACTCAATAATCGGTGCTTTTTCGTCTACAACGGTGTATGGAAAGTTTAAAAAAGAAACCTTTCATAATATTAATGGGAGAAATCTTTTTTTCAGAAAAAAATTTGTGATGATGGAGCCATGGCTTTGTAGCTATGATAACTTTCAACTCTCTAAACTTTTCCGCATGTCAAAGAAAACATTTATTGATTTAGCAGCAATGGTAGGAAAAAGCGATGAAAAAAGATATTCGCAGAACCGCATGCAGGTGGACATCATCCAGTGAGTTTATATGGCCATATTTTAATGTTCTTGTGGTATATGGCTATACAGGATACTTTGTTAAGCATAGGAACTAGATTTAAAATATCCCCAACAACAGTAATGATTATAACTAATAAGGTGCTCTACTTTATACTAAAACTGAAGTCAGCCTGTATCAAGTTTCCCAAAAATGAATCTGAAGTACAATAATAATATCCAATACCCGCCCAAATTCTAACTTGTCACATTTGAAATAATAACCAGAAATATAAAACTACTCCTGAGTTGGGTAAATACCACAATTTTGCGGTGATAACTATGACATATAACAGCTGATTCATGACGTCACGGATCTTATAACCAAACTGATAACCACACTCGCTTGAACGGATCCGTAAATACCAATCCAAAATGGTAAATACCGCTTTCATTTGGTTATTCGCTTGAATTTGATTCATCCTTATTGGTTTTTGACAGTCGCTTGACAGTATTTTGTTTGTTGTGATTTTTATTTTGAAATTATTTTTTATAACCTTTTGTACTTTGGAAATTAATATATTTCATGTTTGTTATAGCCTATAGCTGCTATACATACAATTTATACATATAAAAATGAAATTCAGTATGTTTACTCTTGTAAAAGTGTTTTTGTTATTAATTTTCATAGAAAATGGTGAGATTGTCTTCTGCATATAGTTTGTTGCTGAATTTGTTTTTCATTTAGTATTCAATATTCTTGCTAGTTCATATATTATTTTGAACATTACTCAATCATAAATTTGCATTTTTAGATAGTAGATAGTATAGGTTAGGATACGCCCAATTTCATTAACATTAGTCACTGTGGTGATCAATTAACTACCAAAAATACATCGAATGCCCCATAATTTGCGATATTAACATAAATATTTTTCAGCTGTAAGCATTAAATGCTGGGAGTGCAGATCTGATGCAGATCCTAAATGCTCCGACCCATTTGACAACACAACCTTGGCAATTACTGATTGCAAACAATTAAGGTCACTTGATTACCTGCCAAATGTTCAAGCAACAATGTGCAGAAAAATCCGACAGAAAGGTAAGCTATGCTACTTGTATTCAATAAATGAGTTTGGTGTATCTGTATGATCAGTTAAAGGAAACATTGCAACACCAGACTATCAAAATAATGATAAAAGTTTTGCTTAGCATGTTGAATTGTCGGAGAAGATTCACATGAAGATTTCTGCAACTTTTGTTTTGGCACATCTCAGCACTCTTAAGTGCCCTAGCGCATGCACTCTTTATTTGATTGTGATGCATTTTAAAGCATTTTGTAGAGGAAGGTTGGGCCTATATTTGCCAAAAAACTGCATTGTAATTAGACAAGCAGTAGTGCTAAAATAAGTCAAGTGGTCAAAATGGTGACATGCTAATTAAGTTGAGCAGTGTATTTATCTAAAACTACTATGCTTCCAATTGTATGGGAAATACATAGAATACAAGAAAATATGCTTCTGCAAAAACAACAATATTTAAGGATGCATGAATTCTTTCGACTTGCCTGAAAGGTGATTTCAAGAACTATTTTGCCTTAGTAAAATGCTGGCTAAAGAATTAATCACTTTGAAGGACCACACATCACGGAAAAAGAAAATGTGAGAGGAATCATGATAGAAAACATGGTATGTGCTCTCTGTTTCTATGCAACAGGCTCATATCAAGTTGTATAGGGAAGACTATAACATTGGTATAGCACAAAATACTGTCATCTCATAACTGACATAATAGATGCTAGATATTAATTAATCCTAAACTGATTCTGAGTCTGGCCTATTTTCTGCTTTTGTTTTACTGAAAAATCATCAATGTCAAGTGCATGCCCATCAAAAACTGTCAAAAATCAGTCATATTTTTTGATTTTCAATTTGATCAATTATTGTGAACAGATCAATCAACTGTATTGCTAAGTCTTCAATTTAGTTGAGTAGAGTAACATGACCTCGGTAAGGGTATAAAAAGGGGGAGTTGAATTTAAGAAAATTCACTTGACCTTGAAAAAGCCTTGATGATCATAGTCGTCGTCATAGTTAACATGACCGTCATTTTCGTCCATGAAAACCATACAACTTTTGGAACCTTTTTCAATGAATTATAGTTTTTGAAATATTTAGGTGGGGTGATTGAAATGGAATGTATAAACATATAACCTAGTATGGGGTAAATGCAAACAAGTTTATGTTTGGACTCTTTCTTTTTGGGGAATGCACAGAATGCTGTAGAATCAGTGATAATGATAGGGAGTAAATGTATCTGTTTCTCATTTTTTTCAAATGAACATAAAAACCACTGAAGGTATGGTTACCTGCAATAAAGTTAAAAGCTCTATGATCTTTTTAAATAGAAGATCTAGTTAATTGATTTCTGTTGATGAAATATAGTCCTAAATAAAAAAATGTTTTTCAACAAATCAAAAATTTGATACTGGGTAACAACCCTTAAATTAATAAAGTGAATCATTTGGTTTTTAAACATGAATCAATGGGTTATTATTAATGTGGATCTAAAAAAAGTACATTGAGAATTTTAGCAGTAGGAAGTATCAAAAAATTACTTCCATATCTAAATACTTTTGCGCCAAAGTGTGACATAATAAGTTTGACTCTACTGTCAAAGTTTTCCACACTGCTCTTAGAGTACTATATAGTCCAGGTAGTATATTTGCATCTGCTCGGAAAAATACTCTGATTTGGATTTTTTACATAATCGTATTCAAAACCTTTTAACGAATTTGAACGTTGCTCAAAATTGCACCAACTATTGTTTAAACAATCTTTTCCATGAATTTCATGTCTTTTTTAAAGTTTTTGGATCATTTTGAAAAAAGCTCTTATGAACGTTTCTCTAAAGTTGATGGTTTTTAATATATCTTTGAAAAAGAATATGAAAAACGGACATTTTAATGCTCTCAAAGTTCTTAAAAATTCTTCAAACATCCATCAACAAAGTTCCAAAGCATTTCAAATGGTACTGTTATTGTAAACCTTCGTTTTTTAATTGTTTGACAAACGCATGGCCATGGCATTGAGCGCGCGCTGTTTGTCAGCTGTGGGAAAAATTATAATTTTCTCTCTGATATTCGTGGTCTTATTCGGATTGTATAGTTATATTCTATACATTTCTGGGATAAAATTTACATTCCTATTGGCGGATACCAGAACTTCAAATGATTAAAATGTATCTTGAAATGAGACGTTAAAAATGCAACTTTGTCGAGTCAAGCTAGAAAATACCTTTATATTACTACATATTGTTACAAAACAACCATTTTTTGTCATGTGTTTCTTTACATTACAGTGCACGGTGTATGGAAATACATACGTAGCTGTGCGTACCTTGGGGAGCCTGGCTTAGGTGGCGATGAACGGTTCTGCTTGATGCGTACAGGCACTTACAATATTTTCATGGAATATTGTACTTGCAACACCAAAGATGGTTGTAACACAGCATCAAGTTTGAAATTACAGTCACTTCTTATGTGGTGTTCAGTCTTAGCATTTATAACATGCAGATACTTAAGATAGCCTTTTATTTAACTTAAGGACAATACTGAAGATGCACATTATCGAACAAAATTAAAATGATTGGAAACAGAATTGCGCTAAAGGTTTTGAACCATTTTTTCCAAGACAACCAGTACCTTATGTTGGTTAGCTTGCTATCATAAAAATGCGTTATTAGATGTTTTAAAAGATATTTAAAAACTCATCAGTTTGATATGACTGATATTAATTTCAAATTACCTGTTTTTGTTAGGAATTTTGGACTTATCTAATTATGAAATGTGAAGTAGAAGTGTTATTCTGATATTTCACTAAACAAGAAAAGCAGAAAAAATAACAAATATACCTTTCTACAATGAATCATTTTGGTATCTTTTCTCATTAATTTTGACTGATATGCATGTTAAGTTGACTGAACTCTTATGAAAGGAATCTCATGGATGCTAATACACTGTATTATATTTATGTTCAATATGCATTGCACTGTTAATATTAAGTTGCATGTTTTAAGTTTAAAGTTTTTTAATTTAGTCTGTATAGCTTGTACCGAAATATCACTCGGTAATATATTTATAACCTGTAGTACAATCATTTCAGACATCAGTAATATTATCCATATATTGAGCATATTTTGAAAAGAAATCTCTGATATTCATATCATACATGTAACATTTTAGTAGCTATTGCGATACATTTTATGTTTTGTATTTTTATATATAGAGCTGCTTAACTACTGTCCGTCCAATTTTTGTATATTGTTATTAAAATAGGCGTATCCTTAATTCACTGATTGAGCCACTGGTGCAACCAGTTAGCCAATTTGGCGTCCTCTAATTTCCGCTGGAACGACCGGTTGTACACCAAACTTGGCTCAAATGGCGAATTAAGGATACGCCTAATTATAAAAATAAATGGTGTTATTTTTATGATGCAGTTTATTTTCCAACTCAACAAACATGTCTGAGGTACTAGACTAAATGCTCTGAGAAGGAAGTGTAATTTTTTTCGTGCCACCTAAGAAATGTGTTAACAACAATCACACGCAACCTTTTAGATACACCAAACTATAAATTAAAAATAATACAAGTAGCTTGCTTCCTATACTTTAGACTGCAACAGATGGAAGAAGCTTTCCGAAGTTGGAGTAATTGAATCATCCTAAGACTTTTATGAATCAGTTTTGACTGTCTTCAGAGGCAGAAAATTACGAAACACTAAAATCTGTTTAAGCTATTTAATAAAAAAAAAATCCGGAAAAAATATTGTCAAGTAGCCTTGGTAGCTGGATACTTCGTAGGCATTCACATATGACTACATAATTTCGAATTTTCCATATGTATAAAATGAAAATCCTTAACAGGCAAATACAAGCATATCAGCTCCAGAAATATATGTTTACGTGGGCCAAAACATGAAGAATTAGAGAGAAGTGGTGCAAGGTAATGGACAAGGACGATAAAATTGCCTCTTTCGGAAATATCATTGAACTGTAAATCTCATTTTCTTCCTCTCATCTCATATTAGTGTATGCGTCTATTATGATGGATAAATAACCTAATTGTTGTAAACGGTGTTATGTAAAAAAACGACAAAATGAAAACTTTTGCAGACTAGGTAGTTAGATCGATGTGAGCGTCATCAAAAGTATCTATGGAGGAATGAGTCAACGACACGATATGCTCAAGCATACATTGTTACTTACAGAAAACCAAGTAGCGTTTATCTCCTGAGTAGCCAAATCGCATCTGGATGATTATGTGTATTGATCTGCATGTGTATAACATCAGTGATGTGATAGATATGTGACAAAATTATAACTGTATATACTGCCAATAAAGTAAATCTGATTAGCTGTGCCCGACGGGTTATTTATAGTTTTCCTTTCTGAAAAGGCGTTGTGTGTAATTACTGTTAACACGTATATGACTTGTAATTCAACAGCATACACAGAATATGATTGCAATATGTGGCAGTATGTAAGTATAAAATATAAGATTCCAGATAAAGTTAATCACATCACGGACCAGGGCTTTTCTTCTTTTTTTTTCTCTCTCATTTTTGAAATTCAGCAAATTCGCATATGTAATTTCCAGAATGAATAAGAAAAAGTGGATGCGCAACTAATTTCAAGCTTTAAATACATCTCAACTAAGTGTATTTGAGACAAGAAACCATTTGTGTGCTAATAATCTTCAACACAAATCCTCACTGCACTACTGTTTCCTTCCAGCAATAGCATACAACTTACAGATAAGATCTCCATTAATGCCATCTCTGAAGCAGATGTTACATCACATCAGAGCCAAACATTGATAGCTGAAGCATCATAATGTTTAGGCAACACGTACAGCTACAAAAGAGTTCACACATCTAGTGCTAAGTTGACATCTTGTAGAAAAATCTACGTTATCTCACAAAAAACCCACAAAATGTCAAAAAAAATCAACATGTCACTTTTCAAGATACGTAATACCCGCGCCGGGATAGATTTTATTATTGCTATTTCGAGATGATGTGAATATTGCTATAATGGTCATATTGTAGTTGGAAGGGGAATACTCTCAAATATATCTCCTGGAAGAAGTGCGTATTACAGAGTAGAGCGCAGAATGGCTCTTAGTCGGGAACTGGCTGGTTTAATATTGCCTCATGACCATTTTGTGCCAGATTCGTAATTGACATATTAAATATTTATTAAATAGAAATTTACATTTATAATATTCCTAGTACAAAGATCGACAATCCTTATTTCTCCCTAGGGTATCGAGATTGTGAAACAGTGTACCCGAGGAGGATTTTCCCAGTTCTATTAACCATAATCAGTTCATAAATTGAATCAACAAAGTTTCTTTAAGTTCGTTTTATAGTAACCACGGTGCACTAGTATTTAGGCTTCTGTCTTCGCAACTGCTTCGGTTTTTAAAAAATAAAATTTTAATTCGTAATATTCATTTGTCCCATCTGGTAACCCTACCCCTGTCCCCGACGCATATAAGGCTAGATTCGCCCTTACGTACTTCCGTGACGTACCCTTGAATGAAGGGGCCAACATTAAATCCACATGAAAACATGAACAGACTAAAACACGAATTAGACAGTAAAAACTAAATATTTGCCAATTTGTTTTAAATGTTTTAGCACCCTAAAATCAAGATAATTACTTGCATTTTGAAATTTGTTTTTTTTAACTTAAATGCTCAACTTTAGTTACTAATGAGTAGGTATATATGAATAGTTCAAGATGCACAAAAATCATTGTAAAAATAATGGTACTCGTAATAGATTTTTTAAGACTGACTACATTTCTTATTTATTTTTTTAATGATATGTATTTACAGTTTATTGTTTTTACATGCATAATAACTTAATAAACATTCTCAGAACATTTTATTTTTGATATCTACTCATTAATTTCTGACTCTAGGCTCAGATGACAGCAGTGTAGTTTGCCTTACAGTATACTATAAATTCAGACACAGGATCATTTTCACCATCACCTCTCATGGTACCTGTGATTTCATCATTCTCTACCATTGGCATGAACAGGTGAACAAACTCGGAGCTATATGGAGGTCCTATTGTTTCCAAAACCTCAGTTACAAAGTATCTGATCAGTGAAATATCTGTATCTCCTTTTTGCCAACATTGTTTAATATATTTCACCAATGGTACAACACAGCCTGAACACAGCAGGTTCACCATTCTATCTAGAACCATTTTTCTCATTTCTAACTGTACCAGGATCTCCAGCTCATCTTGCTTAGATTCAAACAATCTGACAAGCAAATCCAAAACTTGATTATGTAACAGTGGATGTAAGGTCACCACTTCATCAAGAAGTGCTAAATGTATAGGAGTATGTTCTGTACATAGTTTAAAGTAACTTGGCTCCGTTACAGTACATTCCACCCATCTGATTATTCCTATCGATACCACAGGATACTTCAAAGACTGATAAATTTTAGAGAGTTCAGCAATCAATTCTGAACTTCCTTTGTTGCCATTACAAATATTATGTACTGTTTCTATAGCACGTATAGTTGGTTGTAACTCATCTTTGTTAGATATCCTCTTCTGACCTTTCTTTTGTTGCACTTCTGAAACACTTGCTGCATATGCCAACAGATGAATGTACTTTGGTTTGTAGTCAGGATTCAGTTTTACTCCTGGCTTAAACAGGGAATCTATGAGTAGTTCTAAAAACTGAGGAGTTCTTATGAGATCTAAAGGAGGTGGATCAGGAGCATTGTAATTCCTGTATAGAACAGTAATATCTGCAGGGTTTAATGTGTTTTTTGACATCATAGCCATTAATGCTTGGCATGCTGTGGGATATGCGGAAGCACCATTAAGTGCCATTGTTATGGGAGTAACATCATGTCCATTCTTTTGTGCACATTTTGTTATTTCTTGTGAAAGCCTTTTCATCGCACTTCCTCCTTTTGATTCCCTAGCTAAAATATGTATTATAACTTGACTATAAACATATGTATGTTGTCCATGGCAGACCATTTTTGCACACTCTTTACTTGTACTCTGCCACTCCTCTGGATTTGTCAGAAAACTTGATATTGATGTTTTCAATACTCTTGAGAATACTTCAAGTTGTTGGGCAGCTGTAGATATACTAGTAATTTCTCCTTGAAATCCAGCATCTGATATCAGCTTAATGGTGAAATTGAGCATCAAACAGTCTGGATATTCTTCAGCTAGCCTATATATTAGTGACCTCCATGTGGGATGCTCTATTAACTGTGTCAGCCAAGCAGGGGTTTCTCCCTCTTCAGTGAATATTGTGTCGGCTTTCTTCGGATCAAAAGTCTTTAAAATCATCTCTTTCAAGTGATTTTCTACCATGGCTTGCACGTCTGTTACTTTCACGCCTCCAATAATTAACCACTCAGCAATCAAGTTTGCCATCTGTGCTACAGCAGTATAATTCTGAGACAGCTCTTCGATAACTTGAAGAGGGTCTCCACCAGCTTGGAAATAACGCTTGAGCTGAGTAAATATTCCGGGCTCCATGATGTAATCGGGGGTAGCAAATTTCTCTGCACATTCTGCCAATACGTGTTCTGGGTTTTCAGGTTCTTCTCCGCCATCTGACTCGTCGCCCCTGTCGGTGTCCCAGTGTCTGTCTTCATAGTCTTCGTCCATTTTATTATAAATAAATCCTAAATTTAGGGACAAGACTAAAATACAAAATACAAACAAGACTTGTGTTGGCGCGATTAGCGTTTGTCAACAAAAAAATAACCTCATTCACAGAAAAATGGAGATGGGTTCACGCTTAGGTTCACGGAACAATGACAGCTAGTTACCTAGTAATATTTCAAAATTCCCCATACCAGCAAAGGACACATGATAAATTCCGAGAAATCGCTGAACTACAGGTAGACAAACCCGTATTTTGTTGTTCTTTGTACGCTACAGATTCTTTTTGTACTCGCTATACAACTCTTATTTAAAAAAAGTTTATTTGCATCCAAAAGAAACGCTACAAACACAAAGGCTGCTAATGACTACGACTACATTTCAAGTGCAGGTTGATGGATTGAGCAAGACCAATTCCTTTTACATCAGTGTGGTATTTTATACAAGCTGTGTTCATTATTAATTTTTATTGTCACATTTACCACCCACATAAAAATGTAATCCTGATATGTGAACAACAGCTCTGAATACGGTCCCAAAATTCATCATCGTCAACGTTTCAAATTAACACAAAGATGTCGCTTTTGTGATCAGCTGTTCAACTGTTCAGCTCAAAGCGTGATGGCGTAACAATTTTCCTGTCTGTGGTCCGTATCATTCCTGAAATTTTTGACATCTATAATTGACATTCCCGCCCTCGGCAGCTTTGCCGTTTATTATTATTTTTATTAAATAATCCATTGACAGTTATGCATATTTTATGATTAAGAATTAAATGTGCAATTACAGTAGCGAAAGAATGCTTCACTTTGTCGCCGTGATGCTGCCGCACGGGTATTCAACTAGTTGACGTCGGCTGTGGTATTACGTATCTTGAAAAGTGACATTTCATAGGTTTTTATCTACATGTTAACTTAGCACAAGCTGTTGTACACTTGTTGTGAACCAGTTTTGTAGCTGTATGTGTTGCTTAAACGTCAGCAAACAGCGATTATGACGAGCCACGACGCATCACAGCAACACTGAGGCATCACACGCAAAACATTTTCACAGTGCCTCACATCTAGGCGCTGATTTGTATACTTGACATCCCAAAATAAATTTTTATAAAAGTTAATAACTGGGAACAAGAATAATGTAAAATGCAATAGCCTTTTTACATTTCCTAAATCTTATTTGTCTGTAACCTATTGTTTCACCTGTTAGCTGTAACATACTTCACAAACCAGGGATTTTCTTTTTACCTGTCACATTTTTGAAATCCTGCAAATTTGCATACCTATGTAATTTCTTGGATGAACAAAAAGTTGTTGCGCAACTAATTTCTAGCTTTGCATACATCTCAAGTGCGTGTATTTGAGACAAGAAACCAATGGAGTTACCATCCACACAGACTAGTAGCACACAAATCCTCATTATCAAGGGTCAGTGGCAGTACATAGGGATGCACTGCCGTTTTATTCCAGCTATAGTATACAACTTTCAGCTTAGAGTGGCTTAGACCGCCCATAGTGCCACCTCGGAAGCACATGTTACATCACATCACACCTACAGCTTCAAACGAGAATCGTACTCTAGAAGGGTTTATTTCTGTCGTACTCCTTACAGAAATATTCCCCATTTCTAACATTTTAATCAAATTCAAGCGGATCACCAAATGGAAATAGTATTTACCATTTTGGGTTGGTATTTACCGATCCGTTCAAGCGAGTGTTGTTATCAGTTTGGTTATAAGATCCGTGACGTCACGAATCAGCTGTTATATATCATAGTTATCACCGCAAAATTGTGGTATTTACCCAACTCAAGAGTATTTTTATATTTCTGGTTATTATTTGAAATGTGACAAGTTAGAATTTTGCCGGGTATTGGATATTGTGATTGTACTTCAGCTTCATTTTTGAGAAAATTGATACAGGCTAACTTCAGTTTTACCATAAAGTGGAGCACCTTATTAGTTATACTCATTAGGGTTGTTGGGGACACTTTAAATGTAGTTCCTATGCTTAACAAAATATCCTGTGTAGCCATATACCACAAGAATATGAAAATATGGCCATATAAACTCACTAGATGATATCCACCTGTATACGGTTTTGCTAATTTCTTTTTTCATCATTTCTGCTGAATCAATAAATGTTTCTTGACATGCGGAAAAATTTAGAGAATTGAAAGTTATCATAGCTACGAAGCCATGGTTCCATCATTAAAAAAAATCTGAAAAAAAACATTTCTCCCATGAATATTATGAAAGGTTTCTTATTTAAACTTTCCATACACAGTTGTTGACGAAAAAGCACTGATTATTCAGAGATAATAAAAATAATCCGAGATTATATACGCGCTTTTCTAAATAAACAACTTGCAACAAAACCGCGGTTAAAACCAACGCGTTCAAGCGATTCGTTGTAACTGACGTCATCAACCCTTGTGTCATCTTGAACCATATTATAACCGCGGCACATAACACAGAAATTTTGGTTATTCGCTTGGATTTGATTTTTGTCTCCTCCTATGTCAAATGTCAATTAGTTGTCATCACGTTTTGACGCTTCTCTCCTTTCTTGTCCCTCCCCCCTTTGATGGTTCGTTTCGTTTTCAGTTTTCATGCTCTCTACCTTTCGTTGAAAGACGTTTTTAGAGTCAGCTTCGCGTTTCGTGTCAAACGACTTAAAAAAGTAAGTAAATACTTTTATTATAAAATATTATAGTATTTCTCTTTCTGGATATTTCCGAATAACCATACGCATTTAAAACTTCCAAAATGTGAGAGATCGATGAGATTTTCAGAGATTGAATGTAATTGTATAGGTTAGGTTGTTACATTTGCAAGTATTAAACAAATGTTTTCTTCCTAGATGCGTTTACGTGGCTGCCTATTTGCTAGCTGTCCTAGGGGGCAAAGCCTCTCCATCAAGTGCGGACATCGAAAAGATCTGGGGTCCGTTGGTGTTGAAGCCGATGGGGAAAGGCTTAAGAAAGTCATCTCAGAGCTCAATGGCAAGAGTATCGACGACCTGATTGCCCAAGGTAAGCTAGGAGTACGTCTTGGTGAAGCCGCGAATAAAGAGCCATGTGATAATACACGTTTTAAGCAAATTTTAATATTTAGTCTGAATGACTTCAGCCGCTTCATATTATGCTGAAATTTTCATTTAAGTTGGATGATACCTGTGAAAACTGGTTCCACAGGTTTTTTATCAAGAGACAAAAAATTAAGTTTGAGAAATCAGAAAATAGCCTGTATTCTAAAATATCCAACTTAAATACAATTAGCTCACCTTCACTGCAGTGAAAATCCTACAATTTACAAATAGAATAGGTTTCTGGATGACTGAGCATCTGAAAAATGTAGTATGTGGATATGAAGGATATGGCACATTCCTTATTTCAAATGGCTCCGGTCAAGTTGACTGAAATTTAGTAAGTTCTACAGTCTCCACATCAATATGATCAAGACTCTATTGCACTATGGTCCTAAATCAATCATTTTCAAGGTTCAGGCTATTCAAGCTTAACAAATTCTATAAACACCATGATTGATATATATATATATATATACAGGGTGACTTTGAAGTTGAGTCCATTAATTTTCAGATAATGATTGTAGAAGGAAGATAAACCAAAATATGTGTGTAAAAATAAAAAAAATTAAAAAAAATGTTACCTTGTTTTATAAAGTATCCTCCCGACAAGTATTTCAGTGCGGACCTGTGCACCCAAAAGCATGTCACAAAAACTGTTCGAAATGATTTCCGTTTTGCTCGACGCACAGCTGGGCGCGTCTTAGCCATGTCTCTTTACAAGCACGCAATAAAATCACTGGTTGATTTCTGATCACTGTACTCATTTCCTCAATTCGAGCACGTAATTCTTCGCGTGTATTAACCGGTGTTTTATACACTAGAGTTTTTAGCCAACCCCACAAACAAAAGCTAAAGGATTAAGTCCGGAGACCTGGCGGCCAAGGTACAAAACCGCCACGGCCGATCCAACGATTATTAAATTGTCTATTTAAAAATTCACGCACATTTCTTGCATAATGGGTGGTGCCCATCTTGTAAAAACCACATGTTTTGTCTAATATTTAAAGGCACATCTTCCAGTAAACCAGGCAAATTGTGTTGCAAGAAATCAAATAATTTTCACCAGTTAAGCGATTTGGTAATCAAAAGGCCCACTAAAAATTCCATTAACAATTCCCGCCCACAGGTTGATTGGTTCAAATCGCTGTTGAAAATTGGTTTCCCCTTATTTCATGGGGATTTTCAATAGCCCAAACGTGAGAATTACGTGAATTAATAATTCCCGTTTCTAGTAAGAGGGCTTCATCACTCACTAAAATTTGATTTAAAAAATTGTCATCATTTAATGTTTATTTAAAGCCAATTGCAAAAGTCAACCCTTTGTTCATGATCTTCCGGTTGTAGGCCTGCACTTTTTGTATGTGAAACGGATAGAACTGATTTTCACGTAGAGTTTCCAAGTTTTATACTGACTAATCGCCAATTGAGTTGAAATTTGTCGGGTGCTTACTGTTGGATCATCTTACTAATTCTAAAATTTGTTCTTCTAGTTCTATTTGATCGTGTGGTCTTGGAGCACCGGCATGATCTCCTCTGTGAGGTCTTTGCACTACATTAACAAAGGCACGAGGGGTTGGTTGCACTCGATTGGGAAACCGATCCGCATAGATCCGTGATGCCGCGGCAGCATTTGTAAAGACTCCCCGTAAATAAGAACCATGTCCACAAGTTCAGCATTTTCGTAAACATGTGCCATTTTGATTTGAGCCTCGCAACAGACACGATTATTCAATTACGCGTTACCGATACCGACTGATACTGACTGTATACAACTGAAGAAAATAATTGTAAAAAGATCGTTCCAAATTCTTTCGCTTTTTTGTTTCCGATGCGATGAACGGATAAGGCGGATTATATCTGTTGTTGCCAAACACGAGAACATAATATCATTATTGAGACAGGGCGGTACTCAAACTTCCAAGGGCTATAACTTTGTTACTTTAATTTTACCAGAAAAATGGTAAAGGAAAAAACATTTCTTTTGATCAGATCTACTCACTGTTAAAATAAATGACTCACTTCGAAGTCACCCTGTATATATATTTTTTCTGTTGATTAGAACTTAGCACACCAACTGGATGTCATTTTTCAGGCACTTTTTGATGGTATCCAATTATTACAATCTCATATATTGTGTATATCATTTCTATCAATGGTCAGAAGGCTGAATTATAAATGGTTCCAAGTTAGAGAATGCACATGTCATTAAATATTGTTGAAAAATGTTTCACAGTGAAATTGGCAGAAATCTTTAATTTGCATTCTCTTCATGCCATTAATCAAAAGTCATAAGCAGAAGGCCAGTAGTTACAGGGTGCGCAAGTTGTAGCATATTATAGCTGGTTGAAACAGAATTAAGTAAGGCCCATTTACATTACATATTCTCAGACAACAACATAACAACATCATATGTTGGCGAACTTCTTATGGAATTTGTTGAAAAGTCTACTTTATCAAGTATAATGTTCCAAATATTTACATTTTTATTCAGACTAATACAGAAGCAATTTAGACAACTTGACAGAATCTTTGCCACTACCAAAACTTTTCAAGAAAACAGAAATATGCTGCTAATTGTAGGCCAACATTTAGTACGTGGATCAAATCAACATTAACCCTTCAGTACTCGCGCGGGGTATTTATAACCCCACGCGTCATTCATAGTTGAGTACTATGGAGGGGGAAATGCGAAATAGCTCGCCGCCTCGCGTATTCCTTAGATTCAGTGTGTAGTTATATCTGCTAGCACCGAGTGTCATTTGAGTTCGAGAAGGTTGAAGAATACGCAATTGAAGTTGATTGGGGTCTTTACGTACCCCACGCGAGTACTGACGTAAAAGTTTTGGTAGGTTATATTTTAAAGTATTTGACGTATTTCTGATAAATATTTTCAACTTTTCCAAGGCAAAGCCATGGACAACGTACGTAGCAATGATCCCAAGCAGTGGCTAAAATGGTTTGAAGAAATAGAGTCCGACGAGGAGGTCTACGGGGAAGAAGACTCGGAAGAAGATGATGGCGACCAGGAAGAGGTACAAAGAAGCGGTTCAGATACTGAGCAGGACCCAAATTCTGATAATGAAGGTAGTGAAGGTGAATTACAAGCAGAAAATATATTGAGCGGAACTGACATATATGTAGGGAAAGACAAGACATTTATATGGCAGAAAACAAAACCATCTTCATCTAGGACAAAAGCACATAACCTCGTCATGAAAATTCCAGGGCCTACTGGAGACGCAAAAAAGGCCAAATCGCATTTAGACTGTTTCCACGTTTTCATAGATGATTCCATGTTTACCAGAATAGTAGAATGTACCAATATATATAGAAAAACTCCGGGGAAACTTTACCCGTAAAAGAGATGCGCGACCAACTGATGTTTGCGAAATGAAAGCATTTGTAGGCGTTCTATATCTTGCTGGTTGTTTGAAATCTGGCCGACAGAATGTCTTATCTTTATGGAGCACAGATGGTTCAGGCATTGAACACATATACATTACGATGAGTTACAATCGTTTTAGGTTTTTATGTCGTTGTATACGCTTTGATGATATTTCTACTAGGGAGGCAAGACGGAGTTTGGATAAGCTGGCACCAATAAGGGACATCTTTGAACGTTTTGTCTTCAAGTGCAGAACTTCAGTAATTCCAAGTTCTTATTTGACAATCGACGAACAGCTGGTTGCTTTCCGTGGTAGGTGCCCATTCAAACAATATATACCTAATAAACCCAATAAATATGGTCTGAAGATATAGCATTGGCTGATGTAAAAACAATGTATACCTATAATTTAGAGATTTATGCTGGAGCACAACCTGAAGGGCCATTCTTAGTCAGTAATAAGCCGTCGGATGTCGTAAAGCGGCTTGTGGAACCGTTGAAAGGTACTGGACGAAATATCACCATGGACAATTGGTTTTCAAGTAGCCCTCTTGCTAAAGAATTGCTCAAGGATAAGCTTACCATGATTGGCACACTAAAAAAGAACAAGAGGGAAGTCCCTTTAGAATTTACAAACACACGTTCACGTACTGAAAATAGTAGCATTTTTGCCTTCACAGATTACTGTACATTAGTCTCTTATGTTCCAAAAAAATATAGGAACGTTTTATTATTATCCACAATG